ATCGGGGAACATCGCGAATAATCCAGTATTTGCTAGACGCCCTCTATACCTGTATATAAGCAGGCAAATAAAGCGAGATAATTAATTGAATTGCAGACAGACAGAGATAGAGACGGGCAATTGAGTCAAGCGCGGTAGTGACCGTAAGTAAAGTGCGTGAATCGTTGTGAATTATAGCGTATGTTTAAGGTAAAGTGACTGTGGAAATTAAGTGTATTGCAAAGTTGTATTGAGAAAGAATAAACTAGTTTTATTTAAGAAAGGACTTGTGTCGCTGAAGTTTTTTCGGATAGAATTTCTACGGAAAATTAACCAACGACCAGAGACGTAACAGAACCCTTAACTTTCATCTGTTGTCACATATATAAACTTTCACGGTTTAATCTCTTGAGAAAAAAAAAGGAGAAAAGTGTCTCACTTTTAACTGCAAGACGAATTAGCTTAAACGTGTGTTTGAAATTTCACTTAATAAAAAAAAATATAACAATTATAAGTGCACGTGGATAAGTCCTTTTGTTGTTTCTTTTTAATTAGTGCATACCCTTAAGAGTACGGGTGTGATTTAGTACAAAAGTTTGGGGTGGGGCAAAAAAAACCTAACTTGGATATTGTGAATATCATGTGTATGCTATATTCCACAGAAGAAGAAAAAGGGAGGAAATAGCTGCTCCCCCCCTCCGCAATCCTGCTGATGCTTGACGGATAAAGCTCTAAAATAATACATAACTGTTACAAACAGATCAGTTCTTTGTGACTTCCAAACAATGTAAGAAACGTTACCAAGATACATTGTTTATTGGTATTTAATATTGTTCCTTAAAACAATGTAACATGCGTTACTTAGATACAGTTGTTTACTAGTGTTTAATACTGATCCTCCAAACAATGTAAGAAGCGTTACTAAGATACAGTTGTTTACTAGTGTTTAATACTGATCCTCCAAACAATATAAAATGCGTTACTAAGATACAGTTGTTTACTTGTGTTTGATATTGATTCTCCAAACAATGTAAAATATGTTACTAAGATACGGTTATTTAATAGTGTTTAATATAGATTCTCCAAGCAATGTAAAATACGTTACTAAGATACGGTTGTTTAATAGTGTTTGATATTGATTCTCCAAACAATGTAAAATGCGTTACTAAGATACAGTTGTTTACCTGTGTTTAATATTGATCCTCCAAACAATGTAAAATATATTACTAAGATACAATTGTTTATTGGTATTTAATATTGATCCTTCAAACAATGCAGAACGCGTTACTAAGATACGTTTGTTTAGTAGTGTTTAATATTGATCCTCCAAACAATGCAGAACGCGTTACTAAGATACATTTTTTTAGTAATGTTTTATATTGATCCTCCAAACAATGCAGAACGCGTTACTAAAATACGTTTGTTTACCAGTGTTTTATATTGATTCTCTAAACAACGTGAAACGCGTTACTAAGATATTTTAATATTGTTTCTCTAAACAACGGGAAACGCCTTGGTAAGACAGTTTTCACTAGTGTTTAATAGGGGAAAAGGTGTTTTCGGCAACTTGGTAAGGTCGAAGTAGAAAGTAATGTGTCAGGCCTACTGTTCTTGTTGAATTTAAGATTACCACTTAATAATATATTTTCTAATTCAGTTCTATACAACTAACTTCTGTTGGATCAGAAATTGTTAAAACATAACTTAAAAAGTCACCATTAATAAATCACCCCTTTAGGAGAGTGTATACATGATGAATTTCCTAAAAATCTCGTGTGTTTTTTTACAAAGTCTCGTACTAACTTGAACATGGTCTGAACTGCCACGATTGTGTTGCAGTCCGCTAGGTGGTCTTCTTCAGCAGAGTTGCTGCTTTCCTTGTTCACCACAACAACACTGTCCGCTAGGGTGATACCGGCTCTTAAGAGATCGTCTAGGCTGTACAAAAGAAAGAACAAGTTATTTTAATATATGTATATATCTATGTATTGGCAAAAATTTAACTAAAATAGTCTGGAAGTTTCACTTACTGTAAATCATTTTATAGCCCCTCACTGGTCAATTTTTATATCCCTTGACAAGTTAATGTTGTAAGTTGGTTGATATCCCTTGACAAGTTAATGTTGTAAGTTGGTTGATATCCCTTGACGACTAGTTAATATTGTAAGATGGTTGATATCCCTTGACAAGTTAATGTTGTAAGTTGGTTGATATCCCTTGACAAGTTAACATTGTAAGTTGGTTGATATCCCTTGACTAGACAATATTGTAAGTTGTTTGATATCCTCTGACTGGTTAATGTTGTAAGTTGGTTGATATCCCTTGACGACTAGTTAATATTGTAAGATGGTTGATATCCCATGACAAGTTAATGTTGTAAGTTGGTTGATATCCCTTGACTAGACAATATTGTAAGTTGTTTGATATCCTCTGACTGGTTAATGTTGTAAGTTGGGTGATATCCCTTGCAAGTCACACGTTGCAAGTTGGTCGACATCCTCTGACGTCTAGTTAATGTTGTAAGTTGGTTGATATCCCTTGACTAGTTAATTTTGTAAGTTGGTTGATATCCCTTGACTAGTTAATGTTGTAAGTTGGTTGATATCCCTTGACCAGTTAATGTTAAAAGTTGGTTGATATGTCCTGACTGGTTAGTGTTGTAAGTTGGTTGATATGTCCTGACTGGTTAGTGTTGTAAGTTGGTTGATATGTCCTGACTGGTTAGTGTTGTAAGTTGGTTGATATGTCCTGACTGGTTAATGTTGTAAGTTGGTTGATATCCCTTGAGTAGTTAATGTTGTAAGTTGGTTGATGTACCCTGACTGGTTAGTGTTGTAAGTTGGTTGATATGTCCTGACTGGTTAATGTTGCAAGTTGTTTGATATCTTCCGACAGATTTACACTGTAAATCATTTTATGTTCCCTGACTCGCTTATACCTAACGTATCTTATATCTTTTGAGTTGTTTATGCTGTAAATAGTTTTGCATCCTCTGATTGATTTATATGTAAAGCTTGGGTCTAATTTAAAATGTTAGACGATAAGATTTTTTAGCAAAATATATCCAAAGTCTTTTTGTGTTAAAGTTTGAAACCTGAAACTTCGAATAAATTTTGTGGAATAATAATGTATTTTCTTATTTCCTAGGGCTATAATTAAACCCCTCTTAGAAAAGTTTAAGAAAGACAATCATAATATGATCGTCATTTTTTAAGCTTCTAACTTAAAGGTTAGTAAGAAAGTTTCAGGTGTATTACTGAGTCTAGTTTATCAGTTGCTGAGTAAAACACAAACTCCCTTTTAGTACTGACTAAAAAAATGTCGGTAAATTGTACGTTCAGAGGACTCGGAAGCACGAAATGATATGTGCAGGTAGTTATTAATAAATACCATTAAATTTAGTTAAAAGGTTGGATAACAGATGGCACTCAAGTATATTAAACTTGCTAGTTAAAGCACGTTAATGACAGTCAATAATTTATACAAGCTGCTTGGTTACTTATTGATTAATTAAACTTACAATGTAAGCATAATGTGGAAAATAAAGACATTTCCAATTCCTAAAGTACAGTAATTGTTTTAAAAGGACGAGTTTATAGATGTTAGTACATATTATCGCAACTTTTGAAATCATGTCTAATTTATAATTGTCTACATCTTACTCCAACTCTATAGCGTCCACAAAATTTTTTAAGAATTTTAATAGTGTTTTTTTAATTATCTACGTAGTATCTTTAGAAATAAGATATAATAAATCTGTTTTTGTTTTTATTTTGCCTTATTATTTCAATTGAATGATAATATACAACAAAAAAACAAAATTCAAATTTTGGATTTATTGTGTTATACTAACAGCATGAGCCAATTACAGGTAAGCACAGTAGAAATATTCACAAAAATAAAACAGAAATTTTAAGGATAATATAAAAAAAAAGTATAGAGAATTACAAAAAATAAAAAAGTTGTCTTAGAAATTAATTAAATATGATAAAAATAAAACGTTGTAGAACATAATCATATAATGGTTACATTTTAGTAAACTTATTAATCCTAATAATAATAATAATTAATTCTAATAAGGTTTCATAATAAATATTAAAAGTAAGGTAATACCAAAAAACATCTTTAATTTCGAACGTTTCCATCACAGTTAAAATTTTTTAAAATGTTTATTTCACGATGCTCTAATTACACAAAACAGCAACAGCTATCAAACATGTTTCTTGGTATTACTGTGTTTTTAATACTAATTATAAAACTTCGTTTTTCACCTAATAAACTGTTTTACGCTACTTTTGTTAGAATTTTTCCATACCGTTCATCCACGAACGATCATGCTTCGTTTTATTATGAATTAATAGATGGCGCGCTAGAGCATAAATTCTTCACAAAACGTTTGAAAAATGTATCAGCTGAGTAGAAAATGTTCAGTTAATAAGTTCTCTAACAATCATTAATCGAGTCCATTAATTTCTAAGTAAAGGCAACTACTTATTTACTTAGAGATAAAGAAAACTTTTAGGAGCAAAGTTTCTACTCCGCTGGTGTGAACATAATCTTCAATATACCGTTACAGTCGTTAACAGTAAACAAAACGTTTCTAATTATTAGGCTTAGTACGGTTAAGTCAAGAAGCATAAATTCATTACTAATAACTGTGTTTATTTAAAACAGTATTTGAATACTTACTAATCGATGGAGCCTTGCATCCAGTAGACCAAAGGAAATAGAGAAATTGCATCGAGAAAGGCAGGGTGGGGTCTGCACGAGGAAACATGTCATATACATCAGCTCACACTTTACAAAGCACACGTTTCATACGTATTATGTTTAATACAGATAATACATGCACGTCATTGCTGTCTCTCAAATTAACTGAAGGTGATTTACTCAAAGATAAATAATAGCAATTAAACATCATTATTTTTAAAGAAAAAAAAGTAGAAGATTATTTTGTAATTACATATTTTATATAAACTCAAAAATTGCAATACCAATTGAGATCCAGACTTACAAATGGACGGAGAGTATGTTGAAAAAAAGACAGATAAATTTACAGATGGACAGACAGATAGCATATAAAGAACGATGTAGAGGAACCTACAGGTGGCCATACAAATTCGTACATAGAAAAGATACAAACAAACCTATAGATGGACAGACGTACATAAAAGAGATATAAATAAACTTATAGATGGGCAGACGAACATAGAAAAGATATAGACAAACCTATAGATATACAGTTTGTTTGTTTGTAATTATGCACAAAGCTACACGATGGGCTATCTGTGCTCTGCCCACCACGGGTACCGAAACCCGGTTTCTAGCGTTGTAAGTCCGCAGACATACCGCTGTGCTACTGGGGGGCATAGATAGACCCACATACAAAAGATATAGCCAAACCTATAGATGGGCAGATGGGAAATAGATGGGAAAATTTAAAGAGAAATCAATAGGTGACACATGATACATAGAAAAAGTATAAACAAGCCTACAGAAAGATAGACAGGTAGATTATAGAAACATACAGACGGATAACCAGATGCGTACAATTAAAAAAAACACGTAAAAGTTAGAAACCTGAAACTTCAAACAAAATTTAAAAAGTAATGATTTCTTTTGTTATTGTCTAGTTTGATAACTTAACTACCTTTAGTAACAGTTTAAGAAAGACAATGTAAATATGATCTTCGTCACTTTTTTAAAACTCCTAACTGAAAAGTTATAAAGTAATATAATTTAGTATAACTATAGACTTTAAATCGTATAATAAAAGTTATAAACAAAAATAGACTATTCATAAGCATAACAATCAAACAGATATGAAGAAAACCAAGATATAACCAGCTTCAAAATAGGCAGAAAGATACGCATCTAGAAAAAAAAGCAGATTTACAGATCGACTGACAGCTATGAGATAAAAAATGAAAACAGAGAAGCAGGACGATATATTGTCTAACAATACATATATACAGATGAATAAACTGGATGTAAATAGGAAAAGATAGATAAGACGAAAGAGATAATACACACACATACACGCAGAGAGAAATATAATTAGATAAAAAATTTAGAAATACAGTCAACTACATAAAAAAAGTTATTGGACAGAAAAATATATAGAAATACAAACAAATGTAAAAATAAATATAGTAAAATAAACCTAAAAATGAAAAGTAAATAAGAAATAATGAAATACAGATATTGGAATGTATTCAGGTTAATAGAAAAACGTATAGAAAGAAAGAGACAGATAGAAAGGTAAGCACATATATGAGATAAGCAGACATACAGATAAATAGATAGGTAGCCAGACAGAAAGATAGACAGTCAGACAGAAAGATAGACAGTCAGACAGATAGATAGACAGATGCCAGAGAGGCAGACTTACATATAGATAAATAGATAGGTAATCAGACATATAGTTAGGTAGCCAAGTAGATAGGCAGACATATAGGTAGATAAAGATAGACAAATATAATCAAAAGCTTTAGTCATAAAAGCCCTGCTGAAGGTTATAAAATTATTTTGTTGGGGGGTGACGGCCACTTGACTTCTAGGATGGTCATTACCTTCTTTCCAGGAGGAGAATGATGGGCCGCAACGTCTGTGGGCTGTGAAAATGTGCTCTTAAAGGAACGATAAAATTGTAGATGCCGTTGCTGGCGTAATCAGTGGCTAAGATAATACATCGGTTAGGCCAGCCATATTCTTTGGCGTTGCGGAAAGAACAGTGGTCACAAACCTATATACACAAAAAATATTCTAAATTTATGTTGTATAGTTGTAACTAAAAAAAAAACACATGCACTTGTGGTCCAATACTAGAGCTGCAAGTTTAATTGTCAATAGAATTTAGCTGTGATTGACCAGTAAAGTATAAAAGTGTGCCGTGGACAATATAAAAAGTCATGTAGATCGGCAGTAACGTTCATACACATAAAACGAAACAACTCGTCAACCAAAGACAGATATTTGATAGAAAAAATCATACAAATCTAAACTGAATAAAGTTATCTTGATATACGAATAAGGTGGGAAACCTGATTGAATTCGACACCATGTAGCTATATAGGCCTAATCTGTTGTTATAAGCTGAACACGATCGAATTCGGCAACACATGGCCGTTTAGGCCTAAATCTATCATTATAAGTCGGATTCTATTCCCTCTATACTTCATAAATTGCAAGTTATTAAAATGTATAAAGCTGTAAAAAAAATATAACCTTTGACTAAAATACTAACCCGAGTTGATTTATTAAATCAATTATGAAAATTCAGTAAAATGTTTTGTATGGATTTTGTAATTATTTGATCATTTATTTGAATTTATACAAAGACAACTGTTAGAAAATTACGATTATATTTTGATTGAAGCATAATACATGTCAAATACTGAACTTGCAAAACAGCGGGATCATTGTTAAGAATATTTTTCATTGAGAGGGGGTAAATCTTTATCTCACAACCTTCTAAAAATGTACAGTATACGATCTAAACTAATGTTATTTCTACAGATAGTATAATAAAGTGAGCTTGTTTAACTTAAATATAGGATCACATAGCCAACTAAGTTTATGGGTTTGAGGGGAGGGGTCACAGACATCAGAAAATAGATAAACAAGCAGAAAACCTATAAACGTTCGTTTTTATAACGTAAGAGGATATTCGGGAACTACAGAAGGTGCCAAATAAGCTGATCTTATTGAACGTTAAAGCTTTGCAGAAAAAGCCAAAACACATGAGGACGAAAAAATCGATACAATATGTTTCGGCTAGTATGATAAAGAATAGGGACTGTATTTAGAAAATAACTGATGAAACGTACACACGCTTGGCAAAGAGAGAGGTTTAACTTGGAAAATCCAAATTCTAAGTTGGAGTTCATACAAGTTTTTATTTTAAGTGTTTCGGGTTAGTTGGATAACATTTCAAAAAACGGCTTCGGTTTTTCCTAATTTTATTTCGTTGAGGGCGACTATTCCAAACTTTTCATACAAAATTCTTTTAATTAATTTCAAGATCGTACAGAGATAGGGCCGTACACTTCTTAACAAATAAATGTAACCACATTTGTTTCTACACCATCTACGTCATTGAAAGATAACACGAAATATGAAATACAATAAAATAAAACAAAATAGATGATTCATAGGGCCTTCCACAATAATGAGTTGAGAATATAACTTGAATGAGGTAGAACAGAATATATTACTGCATGAGGGACACTTGCTGGTGAAGAATGATGTAAGGACGAATAAATTTGAACAGGGAAAACAGAGTATATGGGTGAATGACCCCTTGACAAAAATAAAGATTACACTAAAAATTAAAAACAGAATAGGTTGAAGGTTGATGTGTGACGGACCTTTGATAAGAATTATGGGTTGAGGAATTAAGTCTTAATCTAAAAGGTACAACAGAATAGGTTGATGTGAAAATTGAGTAAATAGGTTTTTTTCACAACTTTTAAGACAAATAAATTTTAAACCTGGTGAAAACCACCGTAAATTAATGGATGTGTGGAGTTTGTTGGATGTGACTTGCCTTGTTTGGCCTGTTTGTTTTAGCGTAAAGCTACACAATAGGCTATCTGTGCGATCTGTCCAACGCGGGGAATTGAAATCCGAATTCTAGCGTTTTAAGCCCATAAACTTACCGCTGACCCACTGGAGGACTGTTTGATTTAAGTTGGAAGTTGGTGCTGTAAGTGTACGTTTAAGAAGTTTTGGAAATAGCTGAAGATTGGTTACATTTAGGCATAGTTGTTAAAGTAATTGAACTTTGACATGAACTTTGACATGAGTATCATAGCAGAACAGTTGTTACATCTTACTTTCTTTTGAAATGTAAGATTTCAAATCGATACGACAGTCGTTATAAAAACACTTTTTATCGATACGACAGTCATTATAAAAACACTTATATATCGATACGACAGTCGTTATAAAAACACTTATATATCGATACGACAGTCATTATAAAAACACTTATATATCGATACGACAGTCGCATTATAAAAACACTTATATATCGATCCGACAGTCATTATAAAAACGCTGGTTCTAGAACGTTCTGTGGTTCTTTCTATAAACATTATTTTTGGAGTTCACCTTTTACATAAATCCACGAACCCAGTAAGGAAGTAAGCAAAATGTTCGTCATTTTTAATCCTGATTTTACGGTTCATTTTGTTCTTTTTTTACTAACCTAAAAGAAGCAAATTCAAAAACTTCTAATCAAGTGAAAAGGGTTTAGATTTAAAAACTATCTTATTACAAGTTACAGCTTTTCCAGTAAGGAAATATACTTTTGAAACAGTACGACGTTTCGATCTCTGATTTGATCATTTTCAAGTACAAAAGTTTTAACGTTAAAGTTTGTTTTTTGTTTGAAGTTAAGCATAAAGCTACACAATGGGCTATCTGTGCTCTGCCCACCACGGGTATCGAAACCCGGTTTCTAGTGTTGTAAGTCCGCAGAAATACGCTGTGCCACTGGGGGGGGACTTACGTTAAAGAAGTTTTTAGTATATAGGTAGGCTTACGTTTTTGTGTTTTATGTACGTGGGTTTACATTTTTGTGTTTTATGTAGGTGGGCTTACGTTTTTGTGTTTTATGTACGTGGGCTTATGTTTTTAGTATTTTATATACGTAGGCTTATGTTTTTGTGTTTTATGTAGGTGGGCTTACGTTTTTGTGTTTTATATAAATGGGCTTATATTATTGTGTTGTAACCACTCGTACAGAGGAAAAGGGGAAAAAATAAACTTGCAAAAAATTTTGTCTTACGTCCTAATTCCCTCACCCCCAGTGGTTATTAGTAAATTTACGGACTTACAAGGCCAAAACTTTGGGTTCGATCGCACATAGCACATTGTGTAGCTCTGCACTAAAACAATAACATTTTATCTCACCTGAGCAAGCTGGAGGCAGCAAGCTGGTTTCTTCTTCTTCAAAAGATAACACAACGTTGGAGCGACTCCAATGTAAGGACTAATTGGAGGAAATCCCTTGACAATCCTATGATCAAAGAAAAAGTTCCTTTCTTAATATAAGTTAATTCATTAAAAGATTCTTAAATACAACTGAAGTGCCAATTCACTTATACCCTTTTTTGGTAATGGTGATAGTAACATTTATCCTAGAGGAGACTTATTTCAATACTTACATATATAATGATTTACAAAACAATATGACAACTAATTAAGTATATACATATATATATTACCAGTTAGCCAAAAGAGTTTAGGTCATTAACGGACGCAATATATCACAATACTGTATTTAACCCCATTCTTCATTCGCTAATATTATTTATTTATTTCCATTATATTCTAATTTGCCCCCCAGTGGCACAGCGGTATGTCTGCGGACTTACAACGCTAGAATCCGGGTTTCGATACCGGTGGTGGGCAGAGCACAGATAGCCCATTGGGTAGCTTTGTGCTTAATTACAAACAACCAACCAATATTCTAATTTTACGTAATATCATAGTCATGAAATGATGTTAAAAAATATTTCAAGGCACATCCGAAGGTTAAACGAACAGAAAACACTGAAACGGACGACGTTTCGGGCTATGACGAAAGCCTCAGTAATATATGAGCCAAGATAGCAACAGTCCATAAGACTCAGAACTCTACAATGCATTCAGTGCCTCCAATGTCAAGAAAACATAATCGTTCAAATATGTCTTGAATATTTATATTTTATTGTCTGGTCAAAGTTCAGCATCAGATCCAAAAGGACCGTAGAGTCCCATTGTTGTACTTGTCTTTTAAAGTCTCTTCAAAGCTGGAGTGAATTGACCATCTTAATCTTAAC